TTATTGCAAAATATTTTATCATATATATTTGTTTCTAACCAACACAGATATTTATATATTCCCTGCGTCTTTGACATTCAATCGTGACTTTCATGAAGATCTTAATGATCCATCATCGACAGCTTTCAAAAATCAGTCATCTGATATTACTGATTTTGTAAGTGTAGTAAAACGTTTACAGCACATTTTGATAGAATAGCAATACTCAGTTTAATCGTACTAAAGAAGAAACTAAATTATATTTTGTAACAGAGGTTAAAAATTCACTGATATTATCTAACTAATATGTATAATTAACTAGTAATACGCCCAAACTAATTTTTTAAAACAATATAACTAACTAGTGATACGAAAAAAACTATTTTTTAAAACAATTACTGCCAGATAAGTAATTTGAATAGGTTCATGGGATTCAGAAAAGCTTTGCCAAGTTCATATTCAATCCAATTTTTAGATAATAAATTTAAAATTCAATTTTCTTTTGTGTATTTTGTAAGACCGCACCACTGACTGTGTGGGGGCCACCGATACGAAGGTGAAGTGTCACAAATAAATAAATAAATAAACAAAACAAACGGAATATGGATGTATTTTAAAATAAGTTTAAATGTTATGCAGATTGTAAAATGTAAGAGTAGCGGAGGGATCAATGCATTAGCTGTAGATTCACATCACATACTGAGAAACAGAGCTACCATACTGGCCTTTAAATTGCATGGCAGAATATAACTATAAACTTTGTGTCGGAACTGTATTTTCAAAATGCTCATATTCATTTATACTTATCTTCCAGTTCAGCAGCAGTCTGTCATTAAATGATGAGATAATAATACAAGTACGTAGCTTTTTTCCTGGTGGTATAATTGCTTATGTCAATTTCAACGTGCTAAACACAAACAGTTCTTATGATGACTTTTTGGAAATTCTAACCCAAGAAGTAATCAGAATCGGGGAAAACTCAGATGGATATTTGTTTCCTGATAGCATCGTGATAAGCAGCACAGGTACATACAATGTCTACAGATACACACACACATACATGTGAAGGAGCTACACCCGATGACATTGAAAACATACCTTACAAGTGGTGACATAGTTAATCTTCGTTTTTTTATGTTAAAAATGTGTGTAATGCTATATCTGTGAGTAAGCAAGGGATGTTTAGCAACAGCCCTAACATTGAGTAGGCCATTGCATAACTGAGTACAAGTATGTCACAAGATACCGCTGCTTATTTTTACAACACACAACGTGTGTCTATGAACTTGAAAAAATTCCTAACTAACGGTGACTTTTGAGGAAAAGCTCAGATATTTCACCAGGTGGTATATAGAGGGAGCTCTCACTATTTAAAGTCTTGGTTTGGCATTGACGTTTCATTAGCGATGCTGCAGTTGAACGTCGGGCTAGCCTAGGCCCTGCTCAAGCTGGTCATAACGTTTGGTCTTCATCTTTACCCTAGCTGCACTGATGAGGCCTAGAAGGCCGAAACGGATCCGTCTGCAGATATTGGGATTTTTTCCAGTGGATATTTAGTTTGTTTTGTCATTCTTGATCGGATTTTCTCTACTGGTCCGTTTAAACTTTATATTATCATTATTTGCATTTATGTGGCTGCTCGTTGTTTTTATGGG